TCCCTTGCGGGACTCAGGGCGGTGAACAGGCGATACTAAAAACCACGAATAAATAAATAGTTTCTGTTTTAAAATCGAATTGAATAATAGGCCTGTTCTAAAAACACACCCATACAAAACCCCCCACTGAAACACAATCCAAACTACGCCAGGCCGGCCGCACGGAATAGATGGGCCTTCAGGGCTCGGCGAAAAAGGCCGAGAATTATGCTAAATTATTAATGGTTTCCATTTGTAAACATTTTTAAAAGATTGATAAGTATCTTTAATTGTTCTGGATGTTTTAAAGTTCAGGATAGCAACATGACAGTAATGAGAGGGAAATTCTTCCGTGTTCTTAATTTATGTTTATGCTACCAGTACGGTACGACTTCATAAGGGAATAAAACAGGCAAGTTCTGGCAGTACTGGTATAATTATTTTCTTCTTCAATTCCTCCAGAGACAATGATAATTAATACATTTTCCAACTTTGTATTGAAAGTCATGGACTTTAATTTATAATGAATTTTGCCTTGTTTATGTCTTCAGAATGTTTTATCATAGCAATCACAAGTGAAACAGTATAGTTAAGCTTCCTGGTAGATACCATGTATATGCTTGTGCAGTTGGATATCTTTAAGTCATTTTGAGAATATAATCAATATTTATTCTGAAATAAAGGTGTGTCCTTTATTGAAATAGACCAGTGGTGGCGAACCTATGGCATGCATGCCAGAGGCGGCACTCAGAGCCTCTCTGTGGGCACATGCACCATCGCCCCAGCCCCGCCTCCCCCACGGCCCCGTCCTCACCAGCAGCCCCCCCCGGAGGAGAGTCGTCCCTGAGCCAGGCCCACGCGAAGCAGTACAGCCAAGGACATGGCAGCCAGGCAGCAGGGATATGACTCCACCCTTGCACCCTGTTGTGCGTAGTTGATGCTGTGGGGTGTAGGTGGAAGGCGTGGTTGCCATAGCGCTGCTGGGCCACCTGGGTGATCTGCTGCAGGCCGTAGACGCGGTGGGTGGCTCTGCGGGCAGAGGCGGAGCAGGGGTGGAGCGGGCAGGAGTGGGGGGGGCAGGGAGGGGCCGGTTTTTGGGCACTCGGTCTCTAAAAGATTCACGATCACTGAAATAGACCATTGACTTTGTTATGTAATTGCTGATTGTAGTTTATAAGCTCCCATCTGCAGATGGAAGTTTGAGGATATTGGTGAAGGCATCCAGCTTGCCTGTCCCTGACTCTTATCCATGCAATATTTATTTGAAATAACAGCATTGTTATCTTAAGTTAATGCTCACACAAATATGATACAAGCTTTGAGTAAGGATAGGATTCTGTGCTGTTTCTGAGTATACCTCCTTTTTCCCCCTGATATTATTAATTGTTCAATTGTGGGCTTAGCTCTAAATATTACAATATTGGCTGTTATTTTAATACAATTAAGCATCAAACTACACCAGCATATAGCATTAAGATATACCTTAAATTAACTATGAAATGAGGAAATATTCAGTCAAATGTTTTTAAAGAATTTGTAAACTATAAATTAATATCTTGTAGAAACAATGTATTCAAATGCTTTCTAGAATAGTTAATTGTAATTTATTTTCTATGAATTATTTCTGGCTGTGCAATATCAAGTGTTCTAGTAGCAATGCCAAAAATAAATGCCTTTTTCCCCCTCCACAAATAGAAGGTTCACTATGAAGCAAGGTGGATGGAGAAAACGAGCCAGTGATAGAGATGGCTGGGGGGCATGGGTAAGTATATGCAGTAAAGCTTTTAACTAAATAAATAAACATAATTGAGAGAGAATTAAATATTTTGTACTACTTTAATTATTTCATTAATAAAACATACTCACCATTGCCATGCCAAAGAAGTAGTGGTAAATACTGCAACTTCAGATAGGACTGAAAATCATTCTTTCTGATATTTAGAAGTAACTTAAGGTTGACACATAAGATTTATAAAATGTACAGTGCATATAAAAATTAAACATGTAACACTTCCCATTTGAAAAATGAAATTGATACTATGTATATAGGTCAGAGGCTGGAATCTCATTACTCAGCAGTAATAATGTGATCTCTTTCATTTTGTTAGTATGTTTTGTTAGTACTGTATGTTTTCTAAAGCATAAGTTATGAATTAGCATTATGAGTATTTCACACTTATTAAACTTTTTTCATATAATTGTAGAATCAATCAAGTTGATAATCAACCTCTAAAGATCCATGTTATTTCCATTCAAGGGAGGATATATGTCTGCCAAAGTCCAGAAATTGGAGAATCAGTTTCATTCAGAGGCAGCTCTGCAACATCAGAAAGATGAAAATTCATCCAGCATTTTCAGTGGAGTTGCCATCTTTGTCAATGGCTTCACAGGTGATGTTTTTATTTTTATAAACTGTTCAAAATGTCCTCTAGGAATATAGTTAGGGTTAAGAAAAAATTAACGAAAATACTAATATGTGGGCAAATGGCAAAGCTGTAAGTTTATTCTGTTCCTAACTAGAATCTTCTATAACTTTGCTGAAAGAAGAGCCAGTTTTTGCTTGCCTAAATTCCCTGAATGAAATTTTCCAGAATGCAGTGTTTATTGTACTCCTATTTATTTTGATAGATCACTTTAACTTAGTTTTTCAAAAAAAACTGTGTATATAATTCCAAAATGCATACGGCAGATTTACTCATTTCTTTTCTGTTTTTTATCTGAATTATGAAATGAAGAGCAGGACTGATGGGTTTCTACTTAAAAGATACTTCTTTTGCTATTTATGTATTGTAGTCTTGATAGTTGAGTGGACACTATCATTACACTTGTGGAATGGCCAAAGAGATGCTTTGAAAAATTAGGCTACAATGTAGCCCCAACAGTAATAGTTCATTGTTGCTATAGCACTTGTGGGACTCCCAGTAAAAAAATACTTTAGTTAAGTTTTCAAAAACAAAATGCTTTGTGAGAGGATAGAAATGGCTTTCAAGCTGTCATAGTATAAAAAAGAAAAAATAGAATACTGTATATTGTTCCACAATACAGCATTCTCTTTTAAATCTTCATTGAATATGCTAATAGCAAATATTTCTAACAATATTTCAGAGCATGGCTACTCTGAGTGTTACTGAAGCAATGGATGAAAGAAATGAGTCAACATTGTCTGAATTTCAAGTACAAAAATTGCAAGGAAGACAGAATAAAATCCAGTATCCTGGACAAAGGGTTAGCAAGTCTATTGGAACTCTGAACAGGAATCCTCCAGATTATAGCATTTTAGTGTAGATATTTTATTGAATAAGGAATGAAGAAGAAATATTAAAACAAATATTAAAAGTAACCTAATAGAAAAACAGTCGTGACAACTTTCCAAAATTGATATTTTACTGAGGGGTGTAGAATTGTGAAATCTACAGCTATATGGACATTTTGACATAAATATTTATCAATAAACCACAGTATATGCTGTACTGTATATGCTTTATCATCAACATTTTATTTAGTTGAACAACTACTCTTAATTCCAAAGCATAATGCTAGGTTTTTCATTTCATGATTTCTTTTAATACTTTTAATATCTTGTATCTTTATCACAGATCCTTCTGCTGATGAATTGAGGCGGCTAATGATGTTGCATGGAGGACAATATCATGTATACTATTCTAGATCCAAAACAACGCACATTATTGCTACAAATCTTCCAAATGCCAAAATAAAGGAACTGAAGGGAGAAAAAGTAGTTCGACCAGATTGGATAATAGATAGGTAAATATTAGAGAATTGTGAGCAGACTGATAATCCTGTTTGAATATTCTGAATATGAGGTCCATAATTTCATTTAAAAATACCACAGACATTCTGAAAAACTGATCTTATTTTAAAAATTCTATTACATGTTTTCTGTTTTTATCATTGAATGGATTTTATTCTCATTAATGATAACATTAGTGGCTCTGTGATAGCACTAATCAGATCTAGTGGAAATTTTAAAACATTAAAAGTACAGATAATTAAATAGAAAGCTTTACATAATATACATATTGTATTTAAATATAAAAATAATTTCCTTATTTTTGCTTTAACTTATATGCATTAAACTTTATTAGATTATTTTATAATTATTAAACATAACCAATTCTGCTGAAGTAATTTGAATTGTACTGTACTTATTGAAAAAATAATCTGTACTTGAGACTATCCCCAAGGTAGCAGATAAAATTGCACAATTCCCATAGAAACCTAATCACAAACACCACAAGTTTTTTTTAATTGGGTAATGTGATCCTACTGTAGTTTTCTTAATTGCAAATAGATTGGTTTTTGAGTCTTTGCCAAATTTCTTATTAGTGTAAATGCAAGCTAAATGAAAAGTACATCAAAAAGAATTATATTACTATAATATTCCAGTTCATTTTCCCAGATCAATCTGATTATTCTCTTTTTCTGTATAACAGAATATTTGCTGCATTTATCACAGTGTAACACTTGAGAATATTCTGGGATTATAAATACAAATTGTGTAATAACTTGTATTTGATTCACTAAACATTAACAACATAAATAAAACATTTTAAATAATTAACAGTCTATAACTTCTCTATATGATTTTCATGTTGATCTTGCAAGATATCATAAAAAGTGAATAAATTGAAAAATCATAACAGGCCAAGGTAGAAAAACCTTATGTGTTATTATTTTTCTTATTTTTAAAAAATTGAAACCTTTTTAGATACTTAGTCTCTTCTAATCTAGTGCCTTCATCAGTTGGAGAGAAAGTCTGTGGTAGAGCACCTCTCTTTCCACTTTCACTCTTCAACCTGTGGTAGACCATAAGACTAAGGAATAGGAACACAACAGAAAAAGTAAGCACTTCTCTTATAACAGTGGTGGCGAACCTATGGCACGGGTGCCAGAGGCGGCACTCGGAGCCCTCTCTGTGGGCACACATGCTGTTGCCCCAGCCTTGCCTCCGCCCGCGACCCCCTCCTCACCAGCAGCCTCCCTGGAGGAGAGTCGCCCCGAGCGTGGCCCACGCGGAGCAGCGCAGCCAAGGACATGGCAGCCAGGCAGCGTAGATAAGACTCTGCTCTCACGCCCCAACGCGCAGTTGATACTGCAGCGCGTGGGCAGAGGGCGTGGCCACCATGGCGCTGCTGGGCTGCCTGGGCAATCTGCGGTGGGCCCTGGAGGTGGTTTGAGTGGCCCTGTGGGCAGGCAGGGTGAGGCAGAGTGGGGGCGGGGCAGGGGGTGGAGCAGGGGCGTGGCCAGTTTTTGGGCATTTGGTCTCTAAAAGGTTCGCCATCACTGCCTTATAACTTCTGTCCTCATCTGGCTGGCATCACATAAGGATTTAAATGGCAGAAATCTTAAATCAGGTTACTTGTCTTTTCTATTTTTTTTAATTAAAACATTCAAATTTAGACATCCTTTTACTCAGAAACAATTTGATTTGTAGAGTTTCCTTGAAGATTTTTTAATTATGTTTGTGCCTCCTTTTTTCTTTTAACTCATATGTCCAAAGGAATTGCTAAATTAGCATCTCCAGTGTGCACCTAGAGGAATGTAAATTTTTGTTTCTCAAAAGTATAATCACACATATGAAACAGTTTTGACATGTTTTCAAAAGCTATTTCAATAAAGTGAATAAGAGAATGCCTCCTATTCAGATGAAGTATGCTTAAGTCTTGGGTATTTCTGAAAGGAATGATGTGAGTAATTAGAAATATGTAATGCCACTTAAAACCACTTAAAATCTGTCTAAAAATGTTCTTGAAAGTAAGAACAATTGAATTTAGATTATAGTATATCCTTTACATATGCACACCTGTTAATAAGGCTTTCAGAACAGAAATATTCCACTGTATATAAAGAGTATTTTTTCATGAAGTTTTTGAGCAATTAAAATTCTGACATTCTGTTACAGCATAAAGGCTGGACGACTCCTTTCATATATTCCTTATCAGCTTTACACAAAACAGACAAGTATTCAGAAAGGCCTCTGGTTTAATACTATATGCAAGCCTGAAGATTCAGTTCCAGGTCCTAGCAATATCTCTGTGGGACTCAACAGGGTGTAAGTAATTATTTTCATTTTGTAATTGAAATTAAGTTTAAGATTGAGAAATGTTGATGAGTTTATGTTGATACTGTATATTAAATTATTTTAAGATCTCAAAGTATACCTCACATTATAGTTTAAAGTAGAATGGAATTAAGTGTGAAACCCATGCAGTTGTGATGGTTAAAGTGTTGCTGTAGTAGAGAGACCTAGATTCAAGTCTACCCTCAGCTGTGGAAGTTCACAGGAGGCTATAGGTGAACCATTCTTTTTCAGCCCAACTCATATTCTAGGGTTCTTCTGGTGGGGAAAAAAATGGAAGGAGTGCTGTATATGCTGCTTTCATCTCTGATCAAAAAGCCAGATATCAATCTAATAAATAAAACAAAAATAATTACTTTTTTTTGTTTTCAAAATCAAGCTTCTTTCAAATGCAGTCATATTAAAGATTTTTTTAGATAAGTATACTGTATACATAACAATGTAATATTAAAACCTAATCTGATACATATATAAAGTGGGTTGTTTGCACTAGTATAGATTTGTTGCAGTGCTCTTGCATGCTCCATGCGCCTTGGTGTATAGTCATGCTGGCGAATGAAAACATCTTCAGACAACTCTCGCTCCCTCGGCTAAAAAATAAAAATGAGCATCACCCCCTAGAGTTAGAAATGACTGGACAGGAGAAACCTTTACCTTTGCCTTTTTACTTCATACCTTGATTTCTGAAAACAATTGAGAGCTGTTCAATCATTATCCATGCCCCAGTCATGATGTCTCTTGCTAATTTCTCTGCTATTTAGAAGCTGTTATTTATTAAACCTATTCCCCATCTTAGTCAAAAGACTTTTAATTGTTATACTGTAACAATTAAAACATCCATTTATAAAAACACATAAATGGCAAGGAAGATAAATAGCAATAGTACTTAGACTTATATACCGCTTCACAGTGCTTTATAGCTCTAAGCATTTTACAGAGTCAGCATATTGCCCCCAACAATCTGGGTCCTCATTTTACCGACCACAGAAGGATGGGAGGATGAGTCAAACTTGAGCCAGTGAGAATCGAACTGCTGGCAGTCAGCAGAATTAGTCTGCAATTCTGTATTCTAACCACTGTGCCACCACGGCTCACTCTATCTATCTATCTATCTATCTATCTGTAGGTAGGTAGGTAGGTAGGTAGGTAGGTAGGTAGGTTGGTTGGTTGGTTGGTTGGTTGGTTGATAAGTAGACAGACAGATACAACTGTGAAATAATTCAGTTTTCATGAATTTTCTGAAAGACAACAGGGAGGGAACAAGACTGATCTCCAAAGGAAGGCCATTCCAAAGTATTGGTGCTGCCAAAGAAAAACAGTGCTATCTAGCCTAAGCTAGTAGAACTAGGGGACCACTAGGAACTTTCTATAAGATATGAGCTGGGCCAATTTTGATTAGAGTAGGCAATCCTGTAAGTGCAGATGTCAGATGATGAACGGCTTTACTATATAATTCAATATCAGTAACTTAAACTGTATCTGGAAACCTATTGTAACCACTATAAGGTCTACAAAATCAGCCCCGTACTGGTTATGTTCTCTTTGCTAGTAGTTGGCAGACATACAAGTCATCACATTCTGGACTAATTGCAGTTTGTAAGACTGTAAGAGTACCCATATGTAAAACACATTGTAGAAGTATAGACAGGTGGTGATGATCTGATTTAATTTATTAAATTTATGCTGTCAGTATTAAAGCCAGGTCCGCTCATACTAGATGCACCAGAGTTTTATTATGTGCAACCCATTTCTAGCATAATAACACCAATTAAGTACATTAGTATGGGTTTGTTCCTTATTTGCAGTTTTGAATTTTAAAATGTGTATTTTGTTTTATATACTATGAGTTGTAGTATTAGTGAGAAAAATTGTTTTAAAGTATATTATTTTTCCATTTAAGACATCCAAGCTGTTTTTGTCATTGACTCAAGTGGTGCACAACATTTGGATAAAAACCTCAAATATACAAACAACAAATACAAAAAATATAGAAATCTATATTAAGAAATAAATAATATAAAAATAAAACCCTGGGTGAGGAGAGATAAATAAGGCAACCTCAACAATTGATCCATCTAAGCAAATCTCTAGTTCCCTTGGAACCGCAGATCTTATAACATAACCAGGTCTTGAGGGCCAAAAGAAATGGAACTAATTTATTTTGGGGGGAAGAATGTTCCATAAGGTAAGTGCCATGGTAAAGAAGGCACATCTCCTAGGACCCATTAAATGTAGCTCTAGCTGATGGTACTCGCAGCATGTCTTCTCTAATAGGACAAGCTAAAATAATTGGGGAGAAGAGGTCCCTCAGATAGCCTTGTCCTATGCCATGAAGGGATTAAAGGTTAAAACCGGTACTTTGAATTGGATCCGAAAACAAATTGGCAACCAATGCAACTTGCAGAGCAGAAGAGTAACCTGCATTGCAGGCTATATGAGGTGATTAGGGCATGAGTAATTAAGCAGGGTCTGCCAGTCATGGACAAGCCTATTGTGCACAAGATAGAGCTATCAAAGGCCCTCCTAGCCATGACTGACAGCTGCTCATTGCCCAGAACTTCACAGCCTCCAGAGCATCACTTAATTCACCAAGGGTAGAGTTATATAATTTGGTATTTTTTTAAGAGATAAAGGAACTGACCCCTACCCCAAGAAGAATTCATCACCACTAGAACCCATTCATGCAATTACCCCCAAGCGCTTTCATAGGCCAGGCGCTGCATGGAATTAAAGATGACTAGGGTCATAATCCTAAGGACCTGTCCATTTCATCAGGTCCAACAGATTCAAACCGTTACCAGATAACTGGGTAAGACTCTTTTCTAAGCATCTCTTCTAGACCTGTGACAAGGCCAGAGTCCAACTGGGAGTTAATTTTATCCACAAATGTGCAAATTCCTCCACACAACTTGCAAGAGATTAGAGTTAACCCCTTACGAGGAACCGTATCACCTGAAACAGAGCTGCAGGGAAGCAATCTGCAGATGCAATAAGGATGGAGAAGTGTTGCTGCTTTGCTCTCCTTACTACCACAATGTAGACCTTAACAGCAGCTCTCACATATGTTCGGTTGAGCCCGTCCCTTATTTCCTTTACTTATCCCAGAATACTGGGAAAGATCTCTAATTTTACATTGCGGTTTAGAGAATACATCAAATAATTAAAACTTAATGTCATGGTTTCGATAGATAGAACCGAATAAATCAGAACTCCGAGGCTTGAAACTTCCTCAAAGAACATGTTTATTGGATACAAAATATTGGCATGGTCAAAAGTGAAACCAAGTCGGAAATTCTCTCCAAAATATTACACTATTACAAAGTAAAAGTGCTATGCAATAACTACGCTACCCAATAGAGCAGTTTGGCGGGCTTTCTAACAAAACGCCCAACCCTCTTCTCCCAAGCGAGAGAATGACCTTAATTCCCACGGAACACAATATTGTTTAGATTAACAGAGATACTCCATCCCCCCTCCCTTTTGTATGGTAACCTAGAACGACCAAGATAGCTGCAGCCAGGTTCGTTGTAGAGTTAAAACTTAGACTTTCTTGCTTTAACCTATAGCATATGACAGTTCAGGGAATAGAACAGTATCTGTCAAATGTTCTATTTACCAATAGAATGGCTACTTAGATCTGAATGTATCAAGTATAGGTATACCATTTAATTTTTATGTCAATCTGAACTCTTGGAATCATAAAGTATAGGCTTGAAAGATTTTTAATGTCAGTGCTGCTAACATTTATGTAAAATTAAATTTCTGATTAGGTGATGAAACAAAATATGTACAGCATAATGTATATATATTGAAAGTGTGACAAATGTATAACAAAATTAAAATATTTGGAAAATGCCTCTTAAGTATGGAAAATAATACGCAAGTCATAGTAAGTTCCGTTATTAGTCTTCATATAAAAGGATTACAACAAAAAGAGGAAATAGTTTAACCTTTGTCTTATGTATTTGTTTTATCAATTTTCTTGCTTTTAGAAATAGTCTTGTAAAGAAGCATGAAGTAGAGAATGAAATGAAAACAAATGGAGTGAGTAAATCAAAGAAAGAAGCTGAAACTACAAGATTCCTGGAGCAAGCTCTTTCCAGAAGCAAGCAGAATGGAATACATCAGAAAGACAACTTTTCCATTTTTAATGGACATAGTCATAGTTCCAACAGTGCCTTAAAGATGCAGGATGGTTTGCTACACTTTGACAAAAATGTTATAAGTAGACTGTCTCCTCTGCATGAAGAAGTAAAAGAAAGCACTGATTTTAGAGACTGTTCTACGCAGCATTTGCAACAAAGCAACAGAAACACTGAACTTTTAAGAAATGTGCACAGGACTATGAGTCATTCATCTTTTTCATCTTTGCACAGTAATATTAAAATAAATGGTGCTCATCACTATACTGTTCAGGGGCCTTCAAGCACAAAAAGCACTATTTCAGTACCTGATCCTAATAAGGAAGATTATTCACCTTTGTGCAAACCTTCTAATGGCAATTTCATTTCAGATTTTTATTCTCATTCAAGATTGCATCATATATCTACCTGGAAATGTGAATTTACAGAGTTTATCAACACACTACAGAAACAAAATAATGCTAGCTTCCCAGGAAGAGAAAAGTTGAAAAAAAATAAAGCAGGACAATCTACAATAAATAAAGCTGACTTAGGTAAAAATATTTTAAAATTATATTTAAAAAGTTGTCACATACTTATTTTTCAGTGAAATGGTGGATATTTTGATTAGCTACGTTTCTCCTGATATGATTGTTTTGGTCAGAATATAAGTATTTGGGAATTGGAGTTGTATAGGTAACTAAAGATAAGGTGGGAGATGTTAGGCAATTTGAAAGTTTCTATAGTTCGATGTTTCTTTTATATTTTACTAAAAGGTAATTAATGAAGAATCGAGATATAAGTTTTAAGGTTAAATTATTAGTTTTATTAGAAACAATGGATAGTTATTTAGCCAGGATTAAATTGTCTGTTTACTGTTCTTTTCCTAGATAATACATTCTTTTTGAATTCAGCCAAACATCAGTGTTGCATAATGCATGTGGATATGGACTGCTTCTTTGTATCAGTTGGTATCCGAGATAAACCAGATCTAAAAGGTTCGTATTAATATCTAAACCAAATGTTTATTTTTAAAAATACTTAATTATTCATTTAAATAAATGTTCATTTTAAAAAAAATGATTGTTCACAATCTATTGTTACATAAATACTTAATAATAATCAGAATAAAGCTGGAAGGGACCTTGGAGGTCTTCTAGTCCAACCCCCTGCTCAAGCAAGAGACCCTATACCATTTCAGACAGGTGGCTTAATTCCAAGTTGCTTCTCTCCTTGATTAGTTTCTATCCATTGTTTCTTGTCTTGCTTTCTGGTGCTTTGGAAAATAAGTTGACTCTCTCTTCTTTGCGGCAGCCCCTCAAATACTGGAATACTATTATCATGTCACCCTAGTTCTTCTTTTCTCTAGACCAGCTATACCCAATTCCTGCAACCGTTCTTCATATGTTTTTGTCTCCAGACCTTTAATCAGCTTAGGTGCTCTTCTTTGCACAAGATTTGGCCCCCGGGGCTGTCCCAGAAATGGCAAGGGACTGGCCCCTGCTGCCCCAGCCCTGGCCCATCCCAACCCGGTTGGGTGCCCCCCTGGCACACATACATGAAACGGTGAGCGCTCGGGGGCTGGTGATGCGCAGCAACAGCTGCAGCTCATTTGTCTCACCCTACCCTGCCCCTCCCAGCCTAACCCCGTCATGCCCAGCTACGCCCCACTTTGCTGGGCCTCTCCTAGTCCGGCTCTGCTTTGCCATGCTGTGCCTTTCCTTGCTCGGCCCATGGCGCTCTGTAAGCCTAGCACCCCAGGACATGCTTGTGAGAGCGTGCGGTGGCACAAGCTGAGCGTTGGCCAGCTCCCGGTCGCCCTCTCCGCCACATGGTAGGGCCGGAGAGGGGAACGCAGCACTCATGCCGGATGCAGAGCCACAGCCTGGAACTACCAGTAGCCGGCAACATGTGAGCCTCTATGGCGGCTGGAGAGAAAGGGTGAGAAGGAGGAGAAAGCAGGAAGGGTTTCTCTCTCTGTGTGTGTGTGTGTATGTGAGAGAGAGAGAGCCAGGAGGGAAAGGGAAGAGGAGGAGGANTCTCTCTCTCTCTCTCTCTCTCTCTCTCTCTCTCTCTCTCTCTCTCTCTCTCTCTCTCTCAAACACACACACACACACACATGCTGCGTCAGGGAGGTGGTATGCAGGCAGGTGAGAGAGCAAATTCATAGATTGGCTTCATGGTCTATTCTTGCCGCCTCCCCTCCCTAAAATCCAGCCAATAGTTGAACTCTTTGGATTGAATGGGAAGTTAAGAGGAATTAGTGTGAGTTGAAATTAAAAGGCCGAGTCAACTGCCCCCCCCAATTATTTTGATGGAGATGTGGAAAGTGTTTCTTGCTTCTACTTCCTCTCATCTGCTCTTTTATAATTTGATCCAGCCGTACCCAAACTAATGTCTTTTGGGTGTCATGGACCACAGTTCCCATCATCCTGTGACTATGCTGGCTAGAAATGGAATGCCTTATTTTCTCTGCAGTATGTGCCTAGGAGGCAGTAGGTCTGTGGGATTTAGATGTTTTTAAACATTTTGTTTCTTCTGCCTAGTTTATTAAATCAACATCTAATTTAAAATTAAATGTTTCAGAGAAATGCAGGGTGGTTTACAAGAAAACTCTCAAAGACAGCTATTGTAAAGCATCACCAGCACTGCTTAAAACAATATTAAAAGTGTGCATTTTAAGAAAGAAAAATAATAGTAATTTACTTAGTGCTGTTTGACAAAAAAAAAAGGAATTGTTTTTCTACATATGCCTGGCTGAACAGTGTGTTTGGAGTTGCCTCTAAACGGGTGAGGGATGCACTGTTCATATTTTCCTTGGGAGAAAGTTCTATAATTGGGGTGCTGTCTCTAAGAAGGCTCTGCTCGTGGCCACTGTTCTATAAACCAAACCAGGGGGACCATCTGGTCTAAATGGATGGTAAACAAAGATGATTAGGGGGCTGAAAGTTAAAACATATGACAAATGTTTGTGGGAATTGGGTATGTCTAGCTTAGTGAAAAGGACTAGGGGTGGGGACATGATAGCAATGTTCCAATATTTGACGGGCTGCCACAGAGAAGAAGGGGTCAACCTATTTTCCAAAATATCACAAGGCAATAATAGATGGAAACTAATCAAGAAGAAAACCAGCCTAGAACTAAGGACTTGTGAAAACAACTAACCAGTGAAAAGGCTTGCCTTCAGAAGTTGTGGATGCTCCATCACTGGAGGTTTTTAAGAAGAGATTGGATATTCCATTGTCTGGAATGGTATAGGTCCCCTGCTTGAGCAGGGGGTTGGACTAGAAGACCTCAAAGGTCTCTTCCAATTCTATTAATCTTTGAGAGACGTGCTGCCCACCTCTCCCCCTCCCCTCATCCCTTCCTGGACAGAGAGAGGGAGGGAGGGAAGGAAAGAGGGGAGGGAAACAGGAAGAAAGAAAGAGAAAGAAGGAAGGAGATGGGAATGAAAAGGAGGGAGGCAGAGAAGGAGGGGAGGAAGGAAGGAAGGAAGGAAGGAAGGAGGGAGGGAGGGAGATTGGAATGAGAGGGAGGGAGGGCCTGATGGAAGTCCTACCTTAGGACTTGGCCACCAGCAGCCCTGTTGCCCTTTCGCCATCCTCTGGTGGTCTCCCACCCTATTGGTGAGGATGCTTTGATTACAAAGCCAGGTCTTGCATGGAGAGGGAATGGGCCTCCCTCTGACCCACACACTTTGCCCTCCTGCACCCACCATGAGCAACCTAGCCAAGGAGAGCGAGCACAGCAGCAGGAGGAGGTAAGCGCAGTGGGTGCCCCCTCGGGGAAGTGCAGCTGGGCTAGGCAGGGCTGTGGGGTCCCAGTGCCGTGGGAGCTCAAGGACCAGGCTGGGCACTTGACCTCCGCTGCCCAGGGCTCTGGACAATCCGTGCCAATGTCCAGGGCCCCCCTGCATGGCCTGAGAGGGACGGTGGCTCCTCCAGTGGACCATGCCCCGGCGCTCGCCCTGGTCCCTCCCCCCTCCACTGGAGACCCTCAGATCCGCCCCAGTCCTGCCCAGGCCCGCACAGGTGCCCTGACGCGAGTGATGTCGAGCTGGCCACGCCCACCCCAGCCACGCCCACCCAGTAGATCGCACCCACCCCAGCCATACCCACCCGGCCCCCCAAGGGCAACCACAATGCTAATGCGGCCCTCAATAAAATTAAGTTTGATACCCCTGATCTAGCCAATCAGTTACATTTGCATTGTTTTGGGAACAGTCTCTCCGCCTTGGACTTTCCCAGCCAACGGCCTTGGAATGCTGGATCTATCTCAGGTTTCAAGTCAGCACACTTGCATTCCTTTTCCCTTCCGGATACTCTCCTTGCATTCTATTGCCTTCCCTCCCCCCTCACATTGCTGCTGTCTGGTTGAGAGCGGGATTTGCATAGCGAGCCAACCATGACACATGGAATTTTTCTTAGGCTCTCTCTGAGTTTGTTAAAATCAGCTCTTTTAAAGTTTAAGACACTGGTTGGATTATATTCTATTGCTTGTGTTTGCATTATATTGAATTCCAATATGACATGGTCACTCTCGCCCAGGGTTCCGGCAACTTCAACTCCTTCTATCATTTCTTCTCTATTAGTAAGAATTAGGTCCAATATA